CTATATATAAAATTTAGTTGTGAACAATTTTATTTAGAAGGCCAGAAAAGGTTTACTTAATAAATTATTTAGTTATTGCCAGTTTATTATTAGAAAATTTTGGTACAAGTAATTATTAAAAAGAGTTAATGATTTGTATCCTTTATCAAATTTGATTAAGTAGTTGCTAAGATATGTTTGATTAAAATTTTATTACTAATTTTAATACAAATGTTATATAATATAACGATACTGGTTGGATCTACTCTAGAATTCCCTATTTATAAGGTAGCTGTTGGGTTATTTATATAACATTGGACATTATTATACTCAAAAGAGGTATTAGATTTGGCAAGTGTATCTAGTAGGTATTCTTTATTACATCCTGTATGTTCTATATTATATTCTATTCTAAATACATTACTTATATATTTTTTCTAATATGCTATATGCACTAAATACACTATCTATACTATATGCACTAAATATACTATATATATTTATTATACTATCTATACTATATGTACTAAATACACTATATAAACTAATTATGCTATATATGCTATATCTACTAATTATGCTACATACCCTATATTTACTAACTACACTATATATATACTATATCTATTAATTAATATATACTACTATTTAATTATACAATCGATCTTTAATAAATTATTAATGATTCTATTTTGAATTATGACAGTAATAAGCATTTTAAAATTGAAAAAATAATTTTAATTGAAGATATCTCAGTAACTACTTAATTAAATTAATAAATTTTTTTTTATTTGAATTCTATAAATCTTTAGAAATTAAATAAAAAAATTTTTATTAAAATTGATCAAGATATCTTTAATCAAAATTGTAATAAAAATTTTGATACAGTTTTTTATAATAAATATTTTAAAATTTAAAAAATAATTTGATCAAAGATATCTTAATAAAAACTTAATAAACTTTTTTTTATCTGAATTTTTCAAATTTGTAGAATTCAAATAAAAAAATTTTTATCAAATTTGATTAAATAGTTATTGAGATATCTTTAATCAAAATTATAATAAAAATTTTAATACAAATATAATATAATAGATATTTTAAAATTTAAAAAATTAATTTCTTTTAATAATATTCTAACAACTACTTGATAAAATTTGATAATTTTTTTTATTTAAATTTTATAGATCTGTAAAATACAAATAAAAAATTTTTTATTAAATTTGATTAAGTGATCACTAAGATATATTTAATTAAAGTTTTGTTAAAAATTTTAATTTAAGATTTTTTTATTATTTTGAAAATTTATCAAATTTTAATTAAATATATTTTAGTAATTATTTTATTAAATTTAATAAAATTTTTTTATTTGAATTTTAAAGATTTATAAAATTTAAATAAAAAAAATTTCATTGAATTTAAATAAATAATTGTTAAGATATTATTAAAAAAATTTTAAAAAAATTTAAAATTTTATTATTATTTTAATGATTTTTTTATATAAACTAATTGGTTAATTATAAGAGTTATCATGATTATAGATTATTCTAAACTAATGTCTAGAAAATTGTTAAAAATATGATTAAGATCTATTTTTTTTAAATTTTAAAATATTTAAATAAAATTTTATTTGATAATATTTGAAAATAATAATTATATTATAATAGTATTTAATTTTATATTATAAAAAAAAAAATATATTACTTATAAGTTAAAAATAAACAAAATTTAAAAAAATTTTTAATCAAAAAAATTATTTATAAATTTTTGATAAATTTTTTAAATATTAATTTTAAACCTATAGTTTTTAATACAATATTTTAGTTTTATAAAAGATGACAATTTTTATTAGTAACACTTTTGCAATTTATTTATAAAAATTTAGATTTGTACAAAATATAAATTTTTTTTTAGTTTTAAAAACCTATAAAAACTTGAAAAATTTTTAATAGTAAAAATTTTTAAATCTAATCTTTAAATTTTAATACATAAGAATGTATTAATATTTTGAAAAAAGTTTTATAATAAAGTTTATAAAATATATTTTTAAGAATATATTTTATAAGCAAACTATACCCTATATCATTAATAAATTATTATTTTATTTTAAAAATACTAAATACAATTTAATTTTTCAGACAAATTTGCCTGGAATACGGTTTAAGAGATATAATAATTATACTACAAGCATTGTGAATTAACTACGCAGATCACATGAGATGAAATCCGCTTTTGCGAATTTCACCTAACGTGATCTACGTAGCAAGTTTTACTAATTTACATCACGGATTCCACTCTCTCCTATAATAATTATTATTGCAGTAATCACTAATTCCGATTACTGTTTTCCGATTTCTTAAACATTTTGACTTTTAGACTAGACAAAATTTGCGCATTTATTACTTGCAAAAATTTGATCGAATATTTTAATGCGCAACTCCTATTTCTACAAAATGATGAATATGTAACCTTTATTTCTATAAAAAATAAATAAATTTTTTACAAAATAATAGTTTATTGCGGTTTGCAAAGTTATGTGATGTTTGATCATTAAAAAAAAAGTAATCACTAATTGTAAAAATTTGATTGAAAGCAACCCTTATTTCTGCAAAATGCTAAACATATTTCTATAAAAAATAATAAAATTTTTTACAAAATAATAAATGCGCAAATTTACATATGAGTGCATGAGAGTGAAAACCTATAACCAATCATAGTAAATCATTAAGTCTGTTTCCAGGTTTTAACTCTCACGCACTCATATCATAAAATTAGAAATCGGAAATTACTGCAAAATTTACAAAATGTTGCAACTGCAATAAGATTTTATGCCAATTGGTGCTAAGAATTGTCAGTCGATTATTGGTAAAAAGAAATCTATTATATGATTAACATTTTTAATACGTTTTTTGTAGATCAGGTTAGGGTGAAATTTGTGTTTAAAAGCGGATTTCACCCTCATGTGATGATTTCACTAGGTTTCACCCTGTCGTAAAATTATTATTCCGAAACATGCTTTGGGCGCTCAAAATGACTTTTCTGTTCAATTTTAACTTCCCAAAAGTTCTTGTAGTTGTAGCAAATATATATTTTTTAACAAAACTCCCCCTCCGCATTAAAGAAGTTCTTTATGCTTTTCCTGTTAAATCTCGTTCTTTTAGCAACAAAAATTAATTTATTTTTTGCGCTTCATACAACAGTAAATTTTATTGGGTCAAAAAAACAAAAAAACAATTCATAATACTAAATCAAATTCTTTACAAAACAATAAAAATATAATTTATATTATTGTAAAGATATATCTAATGTATAATATTAATTATAAATTTTTACAAAATACTTTTAAAGATGTTAATTGTATATTATTGAAATAGATGATAATGAAGTTATACGTATCAATTTTCCAAGATAATAAAAATACTAAAACAGAAGTCTTTTTAAAAATAATAAAAAAACAAATCTATAAAGTTTGATAAATATACTAAGTTATTAAATTAAAGTCTACTACATTTTTTATACGTAAGGCTCAAAGTCTAAAAAAATATACATAAAAAAAAATTAGAAACCGGAAATCACTAATCATAATCGATTTTCTCTTTTTATTGATCTGTAAAAATATAATTAATTTAATTGGTTTTCGATCGATTAGTAATTAATCCTTTAGAGTTGGTATCTAAGAAGTTCAATCAACTGATAAATTTGGATTTATAACACTAAGTCCAACTATAATTTGAATTTTAAATAGATTGGTGACACCAAATTTTGGGCTTTCAACTTTACCATTTATTATATCTACTAGAATCAGTCCTGATCAGAACATATATGATGCTTAGTAAATTTGTTACGTGTCGCCGTCGGGACTGAATCCGATAGAAGTCTGGTTTTTTCTTGGCGTCATTCAAATCTTTACAAAATTCTAGATTATATAAATGTATAAATAAATAACCGCTTGTACTAAATTCTGATCTTTATGCGCTTTTAATTTAAGGATCGATATAGATTTAAGAGATGCCAAGAAAGATGGATCAAGAGCAACATTTTTATTCCACGAATACGTAGAATCAAATAAATTTTTTTTTATTAAATTTAATTAAAGCTTGGTTAGTTTTAGTAAATCATTAATATTATTTAATTACTGATCCGAAAGCTCGGGTTAGATTTTGGACACATTTACTATTGCTGGCTCAGATCATGTAGTGCGCAGGAATAATAATCATCATAACTACAACTTTATGGTTCAATTGCATTTTATATTAGAATATTTGGCGTAATCTTTTATGTTTAGTTTATCTACACTGCTAATATTAACCAAGCAGAGTAAATCCTTCGGCACTGCAGGATCAGCCCTAATTACTTTAGACTTTCCTGCAACAGTACCCACCACATGAAATTATCGTTGTATTAAAACTGTAGCCAAAAATGCGCATGTTCATAAATTTTCATATATTGACTATATCTCCTAACTTAATGTTATCATTTTTCAGCGGGCTCTATTGGTAATCGGATGATTATATTTTTTTGCGGTGATATTAAATGCCACCGCAGAAATCATCTATAGTGTAGTCAATAAGAAGTAGGAGTATATGATAAGATGTAGTTGATGTAAGTTTCGAATTAGTACGAAGATCAAAATATGATTATTTTATAAGTGTTTGAAAATTTCGGAATTGCACAGTTTTAAATATGTGATCGCCCTAGTGTTACCGTTAATGAGGGATTGATAAACTTTTAAAAAACCCTTTTCACCAAATATAGTAATTCGATTAAGCATCATTTCCATTTTAGTGGTCTTTCAAAAAAAAAATTTAATGGTTAGTATATACAAAAAAATATAAGTTGATTTTTTATAATATGGAAGGTTTCCTAAAAAGCTACAAAAGAAATAATTACAAAGTACGTACGTAAATAAATAAATCTATATATGAATTGGATCTAAAGACAATAATGTTCTGACAAAGATCGTCAAATTCATGACACCTATCACTTATTTTACTTAGCCCTCAAGTGTAACAACATTTATTTGTACATATCAAATAATTTCTTCAGTAAATCACGAACAATTTATTTGGTTACGCGTTAAATTTCTCTTATACAAGATCTTCTATATACTTTGAAGTTCTTATTAATAATCAAGTAATATTTAATAGAAAAAATTGTAATAAATGCAAAGAATTCACGAATATAAAAGAGCGCACTCACAGCGTCTTTATCTTCAACCAGCCCATTTATTGCTTGAAGCATAAATCATTTATTTCCTCTTTCTTCATTCGATTGCCTGGTGCAATTAATTTTGAATTCTTTTAATTACAATCAATAAGACTTTAAGCCTTTTAAGCCTTTAATTTATTATACTTTTAATTCACCGTAATGAAGACTTCATTCGTTGTTTTTGTTGTTGTTCTTGCTTTCGTAGTTTTGGATTTTAGTGAAGCTTTTCCTTCAGCTCTATCCCAAAATATTGCACCAAATACCTTTGGAAAAGGTGGAAACCCTGGAAACGGTGGAAACCCTGGAAAAGGTGGAAACCCTGGAAAAGGTGGAAACCCTGGAAAAGGTGGAAACCCTGGAAAAGGTGGAAACCCTGGAACAGGTGATTTTTGCAGCAAAACTAATCTTCCACCCACTAATGGTTTACAATCCAAAAACGGCCAAGTTACTTGCTCTAATACTGAGCTAGGCGTAATTCCAAGTGTTAATAATATGGTCTCCTGTATAATTACATCCCCTCAAAATGGTGCTCAAATCAAACAGAACCAAGCATTCAATGTAAATGTAAAAATAACCGGTATGGAGACAGGACACTTCGATAATCCCGATACTCAGTATTACCTGAATTCTCAAACACTTAATGCCAATGGACTAATTCAGGGGCACTCCCATATCACCATTCAACAACTTAACGGCGATAACATTCCAGATCCTAAAATCCCTGCTTTTTTCAAAGGATTAAATGACCCTGCTCAAAATGGCGTACTAACCGTCGCTGTTGATAAGGGTTTGCCTAAAGGATCATACAGGGTATGCACAATGAACAGTTCTGGAGGTCATCAACCTGTGGTCATGCCTGTCGCTCAACGTGGTTCTCAAGATGATTGTATTCGTATTAATGTCATCTAATTAGCTTTATTTGGTTGTGAATACTTCACTCTTGCTAGTTAATTCATTAGCTCATTTATAATGTAATTATTGTTTAGAACAAAAATAACGGGTATTGTAATTAAGTAACTATATTGTTTTTTAGTGATTAGATGTGATTACAAACACAATTTAGAAATTAAAGAGGAATCAAGCAATAAACTATTTATTTTATTTAATGTTAAAAGTAATGTATGTTTTCTATTATAAATAATACCGTTTGCCACTGCATACTGTATCTTGGGTCTTATTCAAGATCTTCATTTTTTAAATTGAATACGTAGTACTTTACGAAGTAATTACACTAATTTGTTGTATGTATATCTTACTAAGTTAATGCAACAGTATCAGGATAAGTGTCGGATTAGTTCGATAATCATCTCTAGTCTAGTTAATCCGAAAAATGCTTTGAAACAGAACTTAGAATGTTGAAATAATACGCATTAAACCATTTAATAAACTCGACTGTAATACCGTAGGTAGTGTTTATCATACAGGTGTAGCCCAATACGATCAACCGAAAACGATCATTTTGTTAAAATCACTTATTTCCCAAAAAAAAGTATATGAAACAACCCAAACATAAACGAACTTCAAAAGATTTTATATTTAAGTTCTGGATACCTGATTACCGGATTATGATGTGAGGTGCACTTTGCAAATTTAATTGGCTAACTATTTTTAGCCGCTAATCATGTTGTGTACAGTATATCAAAATTATTTTTAAAGCTTGAAATTTATTACTTCAAAAGAATGCGTAAAAATAGTTGAGATAATTAAAACTCTGAATATTTACGAATACTTTAACTATAAATGTTGAAATGACTAGTTAAGTTTTATTTTAATTTCACATGTAATTTGTTTTTATTTAAAGATCTTAAACTTATCTTGGTATCTTTCATATTAATTTAATGGAAGTTAAATCGTTGACTGCACACGTCTTAAAAATGTTTTTATTAGTTAATGTCTTTAATTTCAAAAACACATGCAAAGTAAATGTGATTAAATATTATTATATATACCAAATTAGCCACTGGACCAGCTTTATTGATAAATATTAGAATAACAGTGTGTTCACAAATTTCAAGTTAACCATATTAAAGATTTGACAAAATGTTGTTAAATCATGTGAAAACATGATGGCGGTAAAACATTTAATTTTGAAATTCAATTGCCGTCTGAAATGCGGCATTATTATAATCTAAAGATTTGGATTTATGGTAACTTAAAATTAGGTCAACAAATAGTAAGATGTTGTCCTTCATTGATTTATGTGCGAGATATTTATCAACAGAATTATCAACGGAGTTATCATCTACGATGCCTAAATATTTGAGAAAATATAAATTAAGTTAAAAAATAATAGCTAGGTATATTAAGTTCTGTCTATTTCAGTTCATCTTGTTAGGATATACCGGCTATCTAAAAAAAGGTAAGGATGATCGCTGGGACGTGGCCAGAAAATATGCACCGAGTTGGCTAACTTTTGAGGACGTAACTCCCCTTGTTAAAATCGGCCAACAATGTGTTTAATATAGTTTAACAAGGAGTAGCCTCATCCTAACCCAAATGATATGACAGTCAGATAAAAGCAAACACATGCAGGATTCTCTACTCGGACCTCACCTTCGCTGGGATAGGTGAAACATACCTATACCCAGAAAAGGGTAGCCTGACGTAAGCAAGCCCCATCAATAGCAACCATTCCAAGATATCCAGTGATTCATGGTTTGATAAGCAAAAAAAAAAACATTCTCTCCTTGTTATCCAAAACTGATACTATTTCTTTGACGTCCAAGGGTCTTTTATTTTCCGAATTATTTTTTAAAAAAACGAGCATAACCTTTTTTCGGCACAGTACAGTCAGGATTTTACGCGATAGAGAAATGATCTGTAATATTATTCTAAAATCGGTTCTATTTAAAAAAGTGTTTTTTATTATCTAAAAAATGAACAATCAGTTTTAAAATATTCTTGTAAAATTTATTCTATGAACATGTAGTCTAAGAATCCTCCAGGATCTCTGCCGGATTGGAATCCTCCCGATTCGGAATCCGGCCATCCCAATTCAGAATCGGGGTAACCTGATTTAGAATTCTTATGTGGGTTATCCGGATTATAAATATTGGATTAAAGCCTGTGCACGTGAGTATGTACGATCGATTGCTGGCATGCAAATGATGATCGATCGTGACTTAAGTAATTAGTAAATAATTTATCGATTCTTGTTCGACGTAATATTCAATTGCAAGTTTGTAGAAGTATAGTTGCAAGTTTATAAATGTATAGCAGGTTTATAAAAATATGTACAATCATAAGAGAGCAAGGTAAATTATTAATTATTTAATTATAATGCAATCGGAAGTTTAAATAAATTTATTATAAAATAAGGAAAATTTTATGTGCTTAATAATTTTTCTTTTTAATTTAAAAAGAAAACCAAGTAAATGGTTTACATAATAGGGCAAGATTGTACAATTCACTTTTAATCAGATTATTTAACATAAAATATTATAGATAAAGACCCAAATTTTTTCTTCTTTTCTTGTGATACTTTTGATTAGCTTGTATTAGAATTTTTATCAAGTCATAATCTTATGCAATGAAGAAAGGTCATTATTACTCAAGAAGATTATGATTTGATAATTAGTATTCTAAAAGACCTTACAAATACATTTAATGAAACTGTCAAAGATTATTTTTGGACAAAAAATAATTTTTATATATATAATCTTGAAACATTTCAAAATCTGATCCTTTAACTTATAGAACTAAAAAATACAAATAAAAGATCAGATCAGGTTATTTGCTTATTTTCAAACCTTTACAGTATTCTTGAAAATTTGTATAGCAACATATATGAATATTCTAACTTAAAAAAATCTTTGACATTGTTATAGAATTATAGCTTTCTTAGTACAATACATCAAGTAATAAAATTACCTAATACAATAATTGACTATTGCAAATATATGAGATAAAGGTGTAGTAATTACTTTACTACATAGTAGCAAGCAAACAGTTTAAGATAATAATAGTATATAGATTAAACTTTATTAAACAAACACACAGTAACAACCTTGTCTGTAAATATTATTTTAAAAGAGAAATATTATTTTTACAAATTAAAGATAAAGGTAAAAGAGTTTAAGTCAAAATATAAAAACTTAAAATTGATAAAAAAGAGGAAAAGATACTTTTTAGATATTATTTTATCTAGTAAAATTAGTAGAGATTTAAATAATATTACTTAATACTATAATCAGAATAGTAAAAGTTTGAACATTAAATATCATTATATTTGGAATAATAGAGATTTAAACAATATTAAATAATACTGTGTTTGGGGTAGTGAAGATTTGAACAATATTAAATTATATTGTATTTAAAATAATGAAAATTGTATAGAAACAACTGAAAATATTATTTATATCATTTATTATTCATATTTAAAATATTTAGAACTTATGTTTAGACACTTGAATCTGTATAAAGACACTTGGGATTTGTGTAGAGATACTTAAAATTTGTACAAAGATAGTTAAGATTTATGTTAAAAATATTTAAGATTTTTGTACTAAGACATTTGATATAATAATTTAGTACTAGAATATATGAAACTTATATAAAAGTACTTAGAATATATAAGACAATAGTAATATCACAGATATTACTTAGTGTTATATAATTATATTATATTTCTAATAGCCAATTAAGATTCTTTTATCTATTTACTATATAATATAACTATTGACTAACTAATAATTAATAACTAATAACTAATAATAATTATAATATATAAAATACAATAAGGGCAATGACAGATATTAGATAATATTTTTGAGGATGGAGGTTAGCCAAAATTTTAAATTATACAATTTATAATAATAACTAATCAAAATTAAGAATTATCTAAATATAATTATAGTTATAATATAAAATAAATATACTTTTGTATAACAAAATTATGCATTTTAATTGGTCTTAGGTAGTGACTGGATTCGTATCAATTCGTTACTCACGAATTAAACTCAGAAGAGTGTTCAAATTATTCGATTTAATTACATATTCGAGTTTTATTCGATTAATTCGAGTCAAGGCAAATTAATTCATTGATAAATTTGTAAATTGCAAGTTACATAATGATAAATTGACTTTAAATAGCAAATTACAAAAGCAAATATAAATTAATATAATAAGTTCTGGCCTTTAGAAATATTTTCTTAATTATCGGCGAAAATTTTGAACAATATATATACTGCAATATAAGCTCTTTTAAGCAAATATATCAAGTTACAAGTTACGAAAGCAAATGTATTTATTTAATTATTCATTGGCTGGAAATATTGTTTCTAGCAGATTCATATTTCTCTTTAAAAATATCATCTCACCTACCAATTCTGGGTCAAGGTTTGTGCGTTTTGCCATAATGTTGTTTCCAACATCTGAAAACAAGCGTTCAGATGAGACCGAGGTTGCCGACACACATAAATATTTTTTAAGCAATTTGTGATAATATAGGAAATCGTTTTTTTTTAATTTTCCACCATTGAAAAGGATTTGTTCTGCCTCCTTCCTCTTCCAAAGATAAGTATTCGTCAATTTCATTAATTGGATTGTCAGCAGCATATAGATCTGATAAAATTGATTTATGTTTTCTTTGTATTCTACTAATCTCAAAAGTTTCTTCCTGAATATTAGACAAGGATGCCGAGTGTTGAGAAGCCATATAAACTCTACTCTCTATTTCGTATAATTGTTTCAAATGTTCATTTGTTCTTTGAATTACACTTATGTTTGTAAAATGTAGCTTTTTGAAACGTGGATCAAGCAAACATGCAAGCATTCCAATGTTAGTAACCGATTGCCAATATTTATGCATACTATCGTAAAGTACTTTTTTGAATTTTTCAAGCATTCCATTTGTAACCATTGGGATTGAAATATCAATTTTTTTATGAATAATTCCTAATTCAGGATCGACTTCTCTAATTTCAACGAAATCCTTAATATCATCGATAACTTCTTCTATGGCATCAAGAATCGTTAATTCATTTATGTCTGTTAAAACTGATTCAATATAAAATTGTTGAAGAGATGCTTTTAAAGTCTTAACCAATGCTGAAATTGCTGGATATATTAAAGAAATAGTTATATAAGTATTTCCACTTAATAAAGTCGTGATTTCTTCAAAGCCACTTAAAATGTCATTCAACTCATCTAAAAAAGTCCATTCACTGTTAGTAAGCATGATATGTGCTAATCGTTCACCATCCTTTCAAACAGTCGCATTTTCATCTGATTGAAGCCATGAGGGAAGATATATTATTGCTCTTTTTAATTGAAGCAATCTTTCCCAAGTGTAAAATGACAAATTCCATCATGTAGAAATGTTCCCGATCGTCGATAATTTTTTTTGAAATCCAAGGTCTTTTTGCGCAATAAGAAGGTATTCAGAATGTTTTGGTGAGTGATTAAAAAAATCTATCAGTCTTTTTACACGTAGAACTAAATGTTTAACTACGTTTAATCCTCTTCCAACAGAAAGTTGGAGTACATGTGCTGTGCAAGGAATTCTATCGAATCCTAGCAATTGGGTCGCTTTTTTTATATTTGACCCATTGTCAGTGGTAATTGCTGACATTTTATTAATTAAACCCCATTCCGTTAAAGTCTGATTCAACACTTCAGCGATAACTCGCCCGTATGAGAGTATAAAACGTGTTGCAAAAGAAGAAGAGCTTCTTTAAATTCCCATGATTTGGAAATCCAAGAGCATGTAATTCCGATATATCCATGGTGCCGATGACTTGTCCAAAAATCCATCGTTGTAGACACAGCAACACTTTCATTTTTTATTAAGTTTGTTAGCTGTTGTTTGCTCCAAGAAAATGATTTGCTAACTTCAGTTTTTACTGTTTTATTACAGGGTATTGAGAAGTTTTCGTCAAGTGAATGTAATAATTTTTGGAAACTTCTACACTCAACAATGTTAAATGCTTGCGAATCATCAATGATAAATAAAATTAAATTTTGCCGTATCAATTCATATTCGCTTTCAGTTCTAATAAATTGATTTATAATTATATTACTAGATCGACTAACACTATCCTTAAATATCCTGTGCTTACGGGCGAGATGGTTAATTAAATTTGAAGTTGTTGAACCATCCTCATACATGGTGCCACATTCTTCCCCATCATCCAATATAATTTCACAAGTGGAAGTAATACCTTCTTTTCGAAAATAGTCCCAGACGAAACTTTTAGTTCTACGTCTGGATGTATGGGTAATTGTGGTTTGACTACTCTCTTTATTACAGGATTCATCCTGTTCATTGGTGCTTTTGTTTTGCACCATGTTTGTATTAATGAATTTGTTTTTAAATCGCTTAAATCTCTATATTAAAACTTTCAATTGCAATCAATCATGATATAATTTTATTTAAATATTAAAAATTACAAAAAAATTGCATATTAACAGAAAAATTGCATATTATTTATGCCTTATAACAAAATTTATTAAATTTTAAAAAATTACATAAAAATTGCATATTATTTATGCCTCATTACAAAATTAATTTAAATTTTAAAAAATTACGTAAAAATTGCATATTATTTATGCCTTATTTCAAAATTTATTAAATGTAAAATATTAGTCATTTTAAACTTCATTATGCATTAGTAATTAACTTTATGCATTAGTAATTAACTCACGAGTAATCGCGAGTTAAATATTTCATGATTCGAACCACGATTATTACGAATTATTCGAATCACGAGTTGACGAGTCCAGTCACTAGTCTTAGGTAAGGAGAAGAGGGGTATAGTCTTTTAGTAAATAGATATTAGGTAATATATATTATAGCCCTAATGAATATATATATAACTATTAATACTATAATATATTAGATTATACTAAAATTTATTTTATAATAATATAATAAATAATATTTAAGGAATGTAGTGATCTAGTGAAATGATTAGGTTGTCAACCTCCCAAGTAGTAGGTTGGGTGTTCAAATCCTGTTGATAGTGAAAATTTGAATAATTACCTATATAATATTCGTATTATGACAACTGTTACTAACAATTAGATTAGAATACCTGAAATGGCGATTGTACCAGCATGACTGGCAGGTCATAAGGCATCTGTATAAGTATAGTATTATACAAAGAAATGCAAACCAACAAATCAGGCAGTGCAAACACTAGATAAGTCCTTGTAGCTGTATAAATCTGTTAAAATTAGATAACAAAAAGTTTATTTGAGAAGACCTAAGTAAAGAGTAGTTGAATCTTTAATGGCTCTACTGTAAAGACTAGCTTGAAAAAACAGATAACAAGGCCATAGTATTCAGTTATAGTAGCTAGATAGGCAAGAATCTCTGAGTTAGGAGTTTTAAGAGTATTACCAACCAGACTGCCTGAATAAATCAGAGGAAAAAAATATTGAGCTAACTTGATAAACCAATAGACTGGTTGTAATTCTATATAGGCTATCTAAATTAAGAGTTTGATAAAAAGATAGGTAAAAAGACAGATGTATACTAAAGTATCAGGGTTATACTGTGAAGTAGATACTGGAGTCTAAGTAAACTCTACAAGGGCATAGTGGTTTAATAGTTAAGCTCTGCCTACAAGTGTTGGTTCTGCCATAGTGATACCTAAGTCAGCTGTAAAAATGAGTACAGAAGACTCTGGAAGGTTTACCTTGAGAATAAATTAATCTTAAAGTTAAAATGATAATCTGAATATCTGAGTATGACCTAGTAAATTAATACAGATTACAGGTTTAGAGAGTTTAAAGTAGAACATCTAAGCAGGAGTGTTAGATACAGCAATTGGTAGAGAACCTTCAAGTGGATTTCTTAAATAGGTAATATAAAAAAGTTACACATATAGCCAATTGTACACTCTTCTGTAGTAGTTTATTAAACAACAATACTAATAAATAATTAATAAAATTCAAAAGACCAAAGAGGTCATCTTAACAAAAAAAAAAATAAATAAATAATATTTAATTAATTTATACTGAATTTTATTTTTTTTATTTTATTTTAGTTTATATTTTAAATAAGCAGTCAATATGCTTATATTTTAATTATTTGTTAGCTATATATTACTTAATATATTTAATGTTGTATATAAAAAATTTTTTTATATTTATTATTTAAAAGACTATTATTTCAAAAAAGTTTTTGTAATTTGTACAAATAGATTTTGTTTTATTTTAAATAAAGATTACCAGTATATTGTGCATCTTTGTAATTATTTTACAAGATATTCATAAATATATCTATTATATACTATAAAGGTTTTAAAGATTACAGCATTCTTATTTTCTGTTTTTATTATCTTTAATCTTTTATATATTTTGAAAAGTAATAATAAATAAAAATTTATTATATAAATTATTTATAAACTTTTTAGTTTATAAAAAAAATCTATATAGACTTAGCATACAAAATACAAATACTTTGTCTTAGCAACAATATAAGCAAAGTCTTTAAAAACAAAACTTTTCTGGTTTTAAAAAAATTTTTTTAAAGAAATCAGAAAAGTACACTAGACCCAAAAAACAACATCAGAATACATGATTAGCTATCAACATAAACAACAACAAACAACAGCATATTACATTATTCTTAACAACAAATAACTATATTAGGAAATATAGATAAATACAAGCACAAGCACTAAGTAGATAAATAAACAACAGAAAAGTCTAGAAATAAAAATACAAACAAAAATATTATTGCCATTGGACACAGATTTGATTCAACATATTAGGAGGTTCAGAGATAGAAACTATAAACATATAGATAGCAAGATACTAAATAAGATTTTATCAAAACATATTAGAAATCCAGATAACTTAGAATATATAACAAAAGATCTAGCAGTCTATGATTTGAAAAATATTATAGCAAAGAATTTAGTTTTTTATAACCAAATTCTTGAAATGCTTAGAATAACTAAAGTGTGCATAATACTACATAGTATTACCAAAAAATAGGAAACAAACCTATTAGCAATAGATGTAAACCCAGGCTTCTTTAACTCTTAAACAAATTTTAACAAAGAAAAAACATCTAAAGAAGTAACAAAAATGGAAAAATTGAAAAAATTAAAGAAGTTGAAAAAAGAGAAGCAGCCATACCAGAAAAAGAAGAAAGAAACCAAGAATAAATAAATAAAAAAGAAAAGATAAACCAAGACCTAAAGAAAGTTATAAAACAAATAAAAGAACTGAGTATTTCAATCGCACAACAACCAACTTTCAGTAACCCTCAAAGTATAGTTTCAGAAAAGCTATCAGCTAGTACAACAAAAGAAAGAATCAATATTAAAGAAAAGCAAACTAGAAAAGATCAAAAGACATCAATAAATAACAGAATATATAATCTGAGAAAAAATATTAAAGATATAGATAAAAAAATAATAGAGCTAAAAGCAAAAGAAAAGAATTAAGAAACACTAACACTTACAGACACAATTGAGCATAGTTAATAGTTACCAAAAAACTGCATATGTAACAAGAATAAATTTTTTAAAGCAAACATACCAACATATATAGTACTAGAAAAAAACAAAGAAGAAAAACTAAAGTATACTTAATGGATCTTCTGAGAAAATTATCACATTAAGTTAATTCAAGAAGTTTTTAAAAAAGATAATAGTTAAACAAAAGTGGACTTTGATTGTGAGTTCAGTAAAGACACAGCAATAGAAAGAATTAAAGAAAAAAAAGACAAATAGCTTAAAACCATCTCAGAAGAGCCAAAAAGACAAGAAAGAAAACAGTACTAGCAAGCATATAAAGACAAAAAAAGAGAAGAATGAAAGTTTAAAAATCATACTAGACAAAAAGAAGTGGATTACAAAGAAATAGACCACTTAACAGAAGATGTTTTTAAAGTAGAATTATACTTAATAATATGGGATCTCTTAGCCAATATTAATACAGAAGAAGTAAGCCATATATGCAAAAACATCAAAGAAGCTTATATAGAATATATTAAAAGATCTAAATACAAAGTATTAGCAGTAGTTAAAACAAAAGAATTAAAAAAAAAAGATTTCATAGTTACTACCAATAGAAGTACATAGACTAACAAGAGTAACATTAGGTGAAAAAAATTACAATTAATATAATATATAAAATCAACTTACAACAAAGTTAATAAAGCTTCTAGGTAATGCATTAAAAGTATTATTATTATAATATCTAAAAAAAAAAGTACAAGATCAGTATACATACTACTTAACAAAAATGGAAACTAAAGAAAATTAGTAACAATTACTTTTACATCAATAGAAAAAATGAAAGCAATACAAACAAAGCCAATAAGATTTAACAATTATTTACTCTTTTGGCAAAATCACAAAGAAAGAAAAGATAAATATATAAACAAAGAAGAAAACGTAAACACAAAATATATCAATAATGATAATATTAGTAAAATTTTTGATATAGAAAAGTATAAAAATAACAAAAGCAATAAACAAGAAAAGAAGATCAACAAAAATTATAAATATAAAGAAGATAGAGAAAACTTAACAACTAAAAGTTAAAAGTAAGAAAAAAGTAAAAAAGAAACAGTAACTCTGACTTAATCTCAAAAAAAAAATTCTTATATTGAGAATATCCTAGGCCTAATACTAGAAAAATTATAAAAACTAAAGAAAAAAGTAAAAAGAAATAGAATAGACTAACCTAAGCACTCCTAAAGATGTCACAATTGAACTAATAAATGTAGACAAGAAGATTGAAAATTTTTTATGAGATGAAAGAGAGATGTTTAAAGAAAGAAGAGAAATAAAGTCTTTTTGTCAAGAAGATAAAGAGTCAGAAAAGAAAAAGAAAAAATAAAAAGTATAAAGACAAAACAAAAACTGTTAAAAAAAAAATAAAAAGAAGAGAAAAAAGAAATGAAGTTGGCATGACATAATATTAATAGGCTTAAAACCAAAGGTTGAAAGTTGAAAAATCTGCTTGGCTAGACAAAAGAAGAAGAAATCATAATAATAGAAATTATAAAAACAAATCTTACAGAAAGAAAAAAAAAATTTCTAACATATGCAGCAACAAAAAATATATAGATTTTTGAACAAATGTAACAGAAAAAAAGAAGAAAGGGTCAGATGCTGGAATTATGGTTAATAAATAATAGAAAAAACACATAGGTGCTATTAAGAAAACAAGTAAATATATGATAGAAATTACACTATACTTTAAACAATTGAAGATAGTAGTGATTGCAGTCTATATGCTACCAAATGACAAAGTAATAAAAAAAACATTCAACAAAAAATCATAGAAACAGTTTTAAGAAGAAAAAAACAAATGCAAATTATTGTAATAAATAATTTCAATTATACAGTAAACAATATTTT